TTTTGGAAGAGTTTGAGAAGGATGGGTGTTAGCTCTTCTTTAAATGTTTGATAGAATTCTCCTGTGAAGCCATCTGGTCCTGGACTTTTGTTCGTTGGAAGATTTTTAATCACAGTTTCAATTTCATTACTTGTGATCGGTCTGTTCATATTTTCTACTTCTTCCTGGTTCAGTCTTGGATGGTTATAGCTTTCTAAGAATTTGTCCATTTCTTCCAAGTTGTCCATTTTACTGGCATAGAGTTGCTTGTAGTAGTCTTTTAGGATGCTTTGTATTTCTGCGGTGTCTGTTGTAACTTCTTTTTCATTTCTAATTTTATTGATTTGAGTCCTCTCCCTCTTTTTCTTGATGAGTCTGGCTAATGGTTTATCAATTTAGCTTATCTTCTCAAAGAACCAGCTTTTAGTTTTATTGATCTTTGCTATTGTTTTCTTTGTTTCTATTTCGTTTATTTCTACTCTGATCTTTATGATTTCTTTCCTTCTGCTAACTTTGGGTTTTGTTCGTTCTTCTTTCTCTAGTTCCTTTAGGTGTAAGGTTAGATTGTTTATTTGAGATTTTTCTTGTTTCTTGAGGTAGGCTTGTATAGCTATAAACTTCCCTCTTAGAACTGCTTTTGCTGCATCCCGTAGGTTTTTTGTCATCGTGTCTTCATTGTCATTTGTCTCTAGGTATTTTTTGATTTCCTCTTTGATTTCTTCAGTGTTTTCTTGGTTATTTAGTAATGTATTGTTTAGCCTCCCTGTGTTTGTGTAGTTTACATTTTTTTCCCTGTAATTGATTTCTAATATCATAGCATTGTGGTCAGAAAAGATGCTTGATATGATTTCAATTTTCTTAAATTTACCGAGGCTTGATTTGTGACCCAAGATGTGTTCTATCCTGGAGAATGTTCCATGCTCACTTTAGAAGAATGTAGCACATAATAATCATTCAATAAATGTCAATGATTCTCCTTCCCACCCCTCTTACATAGGTAGCTTTACTAGTTTCCATACTATCCTGGCCCCATAATCATTACTGTTAGTCTAAAAAATTCAGTAAAATGAGTTTGGCAACTGTGGTGCTTCAGTTCACTACGTAACAACTCAAGTCTATATCCTTTCCAGAGATGACTGTCCTCATTCCCAGTTTGACACCTGTCCCTTCTCCCTCCCTGAGCTTCTCCCTCGTCTTGCTTGAGGTCGCATGAAACCCCACAGCTGGGCAGGGGACACACAGCTGCTCTGAGTCCTCTGACTTTCTAGACAGAAGAAACATGGTCCACCTAGTTGCTTTAAGGCATCTAGTCTTGTTTCTAATATTGAGTCTTTCCCAGCCGTTTTGCTCTCCAGGTCCCCCCCCAGCACATATAAGGAGAAAATCTTCTGAGCAATTCAGTTAGCAATTCAATCAACCAGAAGACACGAATGCATAGGAAAGTGAGGGAGTGATTTCCTCACAGACAGTTGTTTTTAATAAACCAATGTCTACTGCTAAGCAACCTTAATCATGCCTCTTCCACGAGTACAGCTAAATAGAATCCTTTCTTATTACCATGGATTAAGTTGATGCTTTCATGAGTCAGAGGGAGGTACCGGAGAAGGCTTTAGTCAGGCTGCAGATGAGTGTAAAACACTTCCTAAGAAGCAAAATAGGAGTGGCATGCCTGGGCTGTGTTATTTAAGGCACATAGTTATTTTACTCACACTTTGGGTTTGTCGCTTACTTGGGGAGTTAGCTGTAAAGAGCTGGATTGTTCATTCAGAGCTGAGTGGATGGAGTCATGGTGTGGGAGACAGTCTCCCTGGTTCTCTCAAGAAGACTAATAATTGAGGTTGCGGTTAGATCTTACAGCAGACTAAGGGAGGTCCTGTGGAAGTCCCTGGACGTGAGGAGAGCCTTTGAGGCAGATTAGATGTTGCAACTGTCAAATCCCACAGCACAGGCATTATGCCAAGGGTATGAGGTGAACTGCGAGGCAGCCAATAAGAGCAGCAGGAGAATGGTACCATTTCCAACTGCTCCCGTCTCCTGACTCTGTTTGCAGAGGTAGGGCATTGGCGAAGCCAGCTGCACAGTTCCTTTTGCAAAATTTAACACACTGGGTGGCTACCCCTCCCACTGCCCAAAGCATGGAAAAATCCTTTGGTGTAACTTCCTAAGCCTCTAAATATATATGTCCTTTAATACCTAAATGTGGCTATTTCCACAAAGCCAATCAGTTAAGGTAAAGAGCAACATTTGGAGGGAGGAATGTCTGGAGTGGAGAAGGGGGATTTCCCAGAAAATTCAGTATCTTCTTTACAACTTCTTCATCATCATCTTTTTGATACTGCAAAGAGTCAAACTGAATTTTCCTTTTGCCTCCAGTTAAATGAAACCATTAAGCTGCTGAAGGTGACACTGCAGGAAGTGTGCAGATAACTACAAGAAGTGTGAAGAACTACTGCTTTGACTAATTTTTTTGTGTCCATCTTTGACCCTTTGCTCCCTCTTTCTCGTTCCTAATCTCTATAAACATGACCAAGACCTGAGGCTTCTCACACCAGATCTCCCTGTGTCTCTTCCTACTGCTGTGTCTCCTTCCAGGTCACTGTTTCCTCATACTTGGACCATGGAATAGCCTCTCAAGTAGAGGTGAGAAAAATTGAGAGGCTTGAAGAGAGAACTGCCTTAGGAACTCCACCATACTCTCCTTCCTGCTGGAGGGAGAAAACAAAAACAAACATGGCACAAACTGGGTCATATAATTCTGAGTTAGTGTCAGAGTCATTGCAGGAAGCCATTTAACTTCACTTAGCTTTGAGGTTTCCATGTATAAAAGCAAAGCATATGACTTGCTCCCTACTCATTACCCAGGACTGTACTGGGAAGACTTATGAGCAAACGTTTGGAAAGCTCCTGAAGGAGGGAAGAAATCTGATCACTGTGTGTGTTCATCATGAGGAAAGATCATTTGGAACTAGTAAGCCAACAACACACTGTTGGAAAGGAAAAGATGGAAACAGCCACCACCCGGGAAAATGAAAGAACTCACCTCCAATCTGATGAAAACTGTGTGCATTGAGGACCAGCAGAGGAAAGGTACAGTGGACGCCAAGGGAAGCTGCAAGAAGCAGTGGAGATGAGAAAAGGATCAAAGCAGGCACTGGGATCCAGGAGTTGACAAGCTATCTTGGGAAACCAAGCACACTATTGGGGAAAGCCAAAAATCCAAGATCTTCCCACATTATGCCTGCTTTGGAGATGTTTTATATCTTGTTGGTTACATAAGTATATATTGTTTTGAATATTCATCAAACTCTACACCTAATATACAGTATATGTAAATTTTATCTTACTTTAAAAATCTGTCTATCTAAGCCCATTCAAATCAATGAGTTCCCTGCTGTGCTCACGAGCAGCTATACTCCAATTACCAATTTTTATAACAACAGTTCTCATAATTATATTAAACAAGATGAATGTATGCAAATATGGATATTCATGTATATCATAATAGATACAGTTAGATTAAAACTGACTTTGTCATTCTCTAGTAACTGTTATTTCGGCACATTTATAACACACTGCTAATCATTCAAATGCCAAATGCCTTTGGAATTACCAAAAATAAAATTAGATTGTGTGCAGCAGACTTTTAGTGTTAAATATGTTTTACTGATTTCTAATTCATTAAAAATTGGTAAAGCATGTGTGGAATATGAAAATTCTATTTATCAGAATATTGGTTTGCCCAAATGATACTATTCTCTTACAAAACGTAATAACAGAGTTTACTATACGTATGATTTAGACTTTGGGGAAAAAATAGGTAACAACAGTTATAACTGAATTCATGAATTAGCTGTTGTTTGGTTTGCAGTTCTAACACAAAAGATAAATATTGCTTAACCCAGACTAGTGACTTACTGAGAATAATCAGTGTCTGAAAGGAGCCTGAAGCTGGGTTCTTGCTAAAGCAGTATCACACTTTTGTAAATCACACATACTTGTGAAATTCAAGTTTGTGTATTTTCTTTCGAATAGAAACTTCAGATAAACAAAGAAAGAACTTATTTGAGAATAGGCAATAAATGTAAGCCAATCAATTAATTTGCCGCCATTTCTTGTCAATATCAGCACAGGCTTGATCTTTAACAGCAGTGAGGTGCAATCACCACGTCATCTTCCTCATCATCATTACAGCATGGGTCCTCTGAGACTCTGAGATCTGCATGCAGGAAATGTATCCAGGACTGCCTTAGGGCATAACACCTGTAGGATAGCAGAAGAAACATGACTAGAAGGAAAAGTTGAACCCCACTGCAATGGTGACAAATATCTAAGCTGATCTCAGGAGAGACTCTAAAGGTGGAAGGGGACTCTACTGATGACCCTTCTGGGGCAAAGAGGACCAGAGCTTGTACTCTCACATCAACCCATCATTGAATATGGGACGCCCCAGAAAAGGGACATGACCTTGAGCAAGAGAGCTTCCTTTGGCTTACGGAGCTATTGGCAGCCAGGAGAATGAATGTGTCAGACCTGGGGGGAAGCTGGTGTTGTATCACAGCATCCACTACAACCTTCATGTTATAAGTCTTTAATAAATGGCTGGCCATGTGCTAAGCTTTTTACACACATTTTCTAATTCTCACTATAGTCCTGTGAGGGAGATAAATTATCACCCCTTTTTACAGTGGGGGAAACCAAGGCTTAGGAACGCTAAGTAACTTGCCCCAAGATCACCCGCCAACTGCTTAGCAGTACAAGCTGTGTTCAAACACGGGCTACATGTCTCCAAAGTACTTGCACTTGACCAAAACCCTGGATGTAGAGTCAGGAGGCCAGGATCCCCTCAGTGACAAGCTGTGTAGGTTCTACCAAATGCAGCTCTGAATCTCTTCCTAACCTGCAGAGGGTAGACATCTTTCTGAAACGTTCGGGGACCCTCTAAGGCACCAGAAAGTGGGGAGCAAGGGGCAGATTGGCCAGGGCTAGCGGAATAACTCTCCTGTGGATGTGCCCTCCAGGCCTTGTGGTGTCCAACCATCAATTTGGAGGTATCTACAGGGGACAGTGAACTTGAGTGCCATTAAGGCCAGTTTCAGTATCCAAGGGGATTTGGGGCAGTAGCGGTGTCTGCAGTCAGAGGGGTGGGAGGGCTGTAGTTCTGGGTTGTCCATTCACCTAGAAGCAGGACTCTAGGAAGTGGACAGGGGACAGGGAATTCCGCAACAGCAGAAAGATGTTACATGTCTCAGCTGACAGGCGCTGTTAGACTCCAGTCCGGCTGGACCAGTAATCCTTTATCACGGCTTCCAAGGCCATGATGATGTTTATTGCAGACATACTTCTCCCTCCACATCCATCTTTTTCTCCCACCTCCTGCTCTGCCCCCAGTTACAATGAGTTGCATACTTTTTCTACAGCATGTACTGTGTGCCTTCTCAGCTTCAGGCTTCTTCCTGGAAGACCATTCTCCCTGGTTCCCTTTCTTTACCTGGCTAACTCCTACTCATCCCCCATGTGTCTACCAGGACTCTTCCAGGAAGCCTTCCTTGACCTCCCAAGATTGAGTAGGTGACCCTCCTGTGTTCTCCCAGAGCAGCCAGTGTTGGGAGGATTATATAATGACCGGCACATAACAGCACTCTGCAAACAGTGGCCATCATTATTACTCTTCCTTGATGGCACCTATCATTCTGAATTGGAGACTGTGCATGCTTTGCCTGGGCCTAGGCCTTTACTCTGTCTCTACCATCTGCCATATTGCAGAGCATACAATATATGCCTGATAAATATTTGTTGAAACAATAAAAACCTCAGTTACAAAACTGGGTAAACCTGGACAGGACAGCATGGGGGAGGGGGAAGGGAAGGAGGTGGCTGTGGCTCTCTTGCAATCTCCCAGAGACTGGCCCATAAAGCCAGTGCCAGTCTCTGCCAGGAAGTAGGTCTGAGCTTCCATCTGCATTGGCTGTTGTGCTCAGGGTTGTGTAAGCAACGGGGAGGAATTCCTTTCTGGCTTCAGAGCCTGTAACTGAGAGGGCAGACAGGGATGGTCACGTGGACAGGATCACTGTTCACAGTGTGATTCTACCTTTTTTGTTTAAGAGACAGTGCAGCATATGGAATATACATGGAATCTTGGGTCAGACACACCTGCGTTCAAATCCCTGTTCCTTTACCTATGGCTATGAGGCAGCTTTAGGTAAGCGCAGACTCTTTGGGGCAAGACTTCCTGGATTTGAATTCTAGCTCCTCCACTTCCTCACTGTGTGACATTAGACATGTTACATCACCTCTCTGTGCCTTGGTTTTCCTCATTTGTAAAATGGAAATAATAATTTCTCCTTCACAGGGTTATTATGAGGATTGAATGAGCACACAATTGTAAAGTTCTTAGAACAGGGCTTGGCGTATAGTAAGTACAACGTAAAGGTTTACCTGATCGTTCTGAGCCTCAATTTTCTCATCAGAAAAAAATGGATATATGTAGAACACTTGGTTCAGTGCCTGACATATGGCATACTCCCAGTAATCATTATTATAATTTCTATTACTATCACTTCCTTTGTAAGTGGAAGATACTTTCTTAGGGTGAACTAAATTGAATAATAGAAACTTTCTTCCTGTGGATACTATTGGTCTCTACTGATGATTGAGCTATTTCTGTGTGGTTCTGAGCCAGCGTCTTCCCCGTGCCTTGTCTTCTTTCCCGAATGCTCTGAAAACCTTCCTCATAGACCCAAACACTCAAATGCATACCTACTTCTCTGATAAATGAGCAAAGGAGGGGTGTATTAATTTTCTTGGGCTGCCATACAAGGTGCCACAAACTTGGTGGCTTAACACGACAGAAATTTATTCTCTCACAGCTCTGGAATCAGAAGTCTGAAACCAAGGTATTGGCAGGGCCACCTCCCTCTGAAAGCTCTGGTGGAGAATTCCTTGCCTGTTCCAGCTTCGGTGGCTCCAGGCATTCCTTGGCTTGTGGTGGCATCACTCCAATCTCTATATTTGTCTTCACATGGCCTTCTCCCTCTGTGCATCTCTGTCAAAATCTTCCTCTGCCTGTCTCTGTTAAGGGCACCTGTCATTGGATTTAGGGTTCACCCTAAATTCTGGAAGACCTCATCTTGAGATCCTTAACTTAATTATATCTGCAAAGACAATTTTTCCAAGTAGGCTCACATTCACATGATTTGGGAGGTGAACATATCTTTGGGGGCCACCTATTCAACCCACTAGGAGGAATAAAAGGGCCCTAACTGGTTGCAAATAGAATCCATCCCTTTACCTTGTTTGAACCTACATATATTTCCTTTTCCCTTTTCCTTTCCCCTGCACACCTGTTCCAGTCTCGTCCATACTTCTTTTATGGGATGTTCACAGCTAGAGGGGCAAGTAAGACATCCTGACCGACTAATCTGCTGCTTCCTGGCTCCACTCTGGTCCACGTCTGTACCTGCCTCCTACCTCAGGATTCGCTGTCAGCCCGTTGTATACTTGATCCCATGAAAGCTTATTCTGGTTGGCCCACTCAGTTGCCTTGCAGATAGCCGGGAGAGTTGGATGTCACCCTGGGACCTTGCAGTACCAGCTTGCCCCACCTGGCTCTTCACCAGGGTTGCCTTAGTCACACATCAGATTTCATAGATGAGGCCAAAACAGGAGACCCTGGTGAGCTGGAACAAGTAGGGGCGGTGGATCTGGGTCAGAGCAGGAATTATGTTTGCACTTGGACCAGGCAGATAGGCTCAGAGAAGGAATCTGGGTCAAAAGCTTGGCAGACTAGTAGGAAACATGAAGCCTGATACACAAATTAAACTGGAGACTAGCTCTTCATCTGTACAGTCCAGTTCTTGGTTCTCCAAAGTCTGATTGAGGCGGGTCTGTGACCTGTGGCATATCGTATGTTTAAGGGCTAACTAAATTTAATGTGTATTCATCGAGCATTTGCTGTCATGCCAGGATCTAGGTATACAGAGTTAGAACATAGCAGGCAACACATACACATAAAAAACTAATGTCATAAGATGTGATAACTATGTGCAAGTGTTATAAGAGGTCCAGTTCTGCCTTGGGTTAAGGAACGGGTCATGATGGGGGCACAGAGAAGGTAATATTTGAGTGGGCTCTTAAAGAATTCAGTAAGGAGAGTGTGAAAGGACAGCCCAGAAAGTATACTATCCACTGACCAAGTGGGTGCCTCTTCCTCTCCTCTTGCTTTGTGTTGATCTCATCCAAAGCCTAGACCTTGCATAAAAAGAACCATTTTTTGCACAAGATCTATTTCTGCTCGGCAATCTAAAGACAGATATCAAACGTGTTCTACAAATGGGTCGTGGCCCAGAGAAACAACCAACCAGAAGGGCCTCCAGTTGTGAGGAACTGGTTTGGTGGGTACTGGCTGGATAGCAGAGGCCCCACCTCCACACCTACTACTATCCACACAGTGGGAAACTTTAGTGTATCAGCGTGTTTCAGTGATACATCAATATTGAGATTATCACGTGGCCTGTTTGGATGTCTTTCTTATGAAAATTTTTTTCTATTTATTTTACATATAGAATATGTTGTCTCTCAAACCCCAAGAAGGCATTTCTGATCGCAGTCTCTGATAAAAGGGAAGGAGGCTCTTGTTCATTACTCCCTGTCCCATATTTTTTCAGAATTTAATGAATATCTCTTTGAACTTTCTTGGAGGTCTCTTGTAACCCAACATCTTTATAATTAAGTGATATTTTAAAATTAGGAAATGGGGCATCTTCATGGAATATTAATTTTATCTAATTATTATTAAGTCACATTTAAGTAACCTAATTGGGTACATAGGTTTAAATGTTTCCCAATATTAAAACAAACATGGACATATTATTTAGCATTAAAAATATATATATATATGTTATATATGTATATATCACATATATCAGCGTTGAATATAAAATTCAAATAAATTTTAGAATCTA